ACCTAGGCCTAGCTACTAGGCTGCATAATTACAGGCCCTAGTCTATCAGCAAGTAGTGTTGGCCTATGGTAGGCTCTACACTAGGCCTACTAACTTTTATTATTAATGAATTAGAGAACGTTAATGTTGCCTAGGGCCTTAATTGTGTTCTGGTACTGGCCATCACGATAGGTACCAGTGGTAAGCTAAGGCCTAGTATTCACTAAAACTAACATAGCTAGGCCTAGGCCTTTTTTAATTAAATATCAAAGATCAAGAAGATCGTGTAGGCTCCTCCTTCCTAGGCCGATCCTTGGCTGTTCCAAGATCTCCTCCCGGTCTAGGTCTACATAGGCTGCAACCTGCCCTGTAGGCTAAAAATAATACACTTGCACACTCTCTTCGAAACACACATGCCAATTAAAACATCACCATTTAATTTGTTTTCTATTTTTCCTGTTGCCTCCAGTTCCTATAGGCCTAATTAAGGCCTAGGGCCTAGGCCTAAATCGATATTTCAATCACGACGATCTCGCTCGCGATACGTTTCTATGTTATGATTGTAAGAGTTATCGACGCATGCGCGTTTGCCGATTTCTGCTTATCTTGTTGTCAAGTAGGTTACGTAACGGTGAGATAATTACGATCGCGGCGAGGAGGTCTGTACCTTTGATCTTCGCTCGATGTTACTCCTTCTGTTCTATTTTCTCTATGCACACACACACACATACATTTCATGTTCGAATTATCCCATTAGTTCCTTGTGACCTTAAGGTCACAAAGGAACTAAAAATACTAATTATTAGTATTTCAACTGAATTGGAGGCGTTTGAAAAGGTTATAATTAACACAAATTCGACACACGTTTCTGCTCGCTGTTCGCTGTGTTAAATCTGTTGTGTGGCTGATCGAAGTTTTCGTTTTCGTTTACAATGTACTTGCAAATACACTGCTTTTATATCACTTTATATGTTTTACTGTTACTTTTTACATATGTTTAACATCGGGCAGAAGTAAGAAGGGATTTTTAGCCAAAATATGTTAGACGGCCTGCACACACTGCAGTTTTAATATAATGCTGCGGGCTGCCAAAAAATTGACGGCCTGCGGGTCACACTTTGTCCATAAGTGATGTATTGAGTCATTTAAAGTAGTTTTCAAAATATGGTACCTGCTGTTTTTTAATTTCTTTTCTTTAAATTTTGAGGCTTGTGAAGTGAGATTTAGCATTGCCTTCTGCTTGTATGCTAGAGAACTAAACAGTATCAACTTGACTCTTTCCAGCAACATGACTGCTGCCATCATTCATACAGACCGGCACTGTTTCTGTCTGTTTACGCACCAAGAGGTTTACCAAAATCAGTAACCAATATCATTCTACTTTTGAAATCTGCCATTGTAATTGTATAGCAAATCAAAGGTATAATCAATTAGTTAGTAATCAGGAGATAAGCAGCATAAAAGCTTCGGGAGGCACTGTATGTTTGTGGGTGTTGGTTAATTTCAGAAGGCTGAGATTCTGGGTTGTGTTGATAAAGGTTGAGATAAATTTTATGTGGGTTCAGTTTGTGGTTTGAAATAATTTAAGAGTTTGAGTTTGCTGGTTAGAATTTAATTTATGGAAGGTTGAGTTTGTAGATAGAGGTTAATGTAAGGGGGTCTGAAATGTATTGGTTGGGGTTAATTTTAAGGGGCTAAAGTGATTGAGTGTGTGAGCTGGAGTTATTTTACAGGGTTGAGGTTGTTTATTTTAGTGGCGTTTACAATTGAAACACCTCCTTCTTAAATATAATTTGTTTAAAGTAAATTGGCAGATGTTGAATTTGATGTATGGAAGGAAGGTTTTTAGACAAAGGCAAACTTGAGCAAACAGGCAAATAAAGAAGCAGGAACTGTAAACATTGCAGCCTATTAAATGTGAAGTAGGAAACCTGTGGAGCTTGTCTATTCAGTGAACCCCATAAAACAATTGCCAGGGTATTCCTTTTTTTAAAATATTAAAAACAAAAAATCTTTTACTACTGTACCACATGATAAAAAATAATAATAATATCAATAACACAAAATATTTTAATTAACAAATTTATTTAATAATTCATACACTTATTTTTACTTTCAATTCTGATTAGATCATGAATTTTAGTATTTCTACAAGAATACACATAATTTCCTTTAATTCAGATAGTAAAGTCCCAAATCTTTCATCGATATTTATAGCATCATATGCTAAATAGTTGCCTACATATGGTGGGAGTGTGTGTGTTGGGGGGGGGGGCTTGGTGTGTTTTGTGTAAGCAGAGACATACATATATTACAGCTACTCACCTGGTGCAGCAAGAGCAAGTACACAGAATAAAGACAACTCTCGGTCGGTTAAATTCAACTTGTTCATCTTTTCAAAAAAGCGAAATTTTGTTGAGAAAAACATTACATCCAAATCTTCAAGAACTTGTCGTCGAAAATATACACCATCTGTTGGAAACCAAAGTCCATCAGCTGTGTAGCGCGACGAGGTCGCTATCATGGCAAGCTCAAAGCCGGAGTGTTTCAGGAGCGCTACCTGATCATTGATATCAAGCATTCGAAATTCCGGCAGTTTCTTTGCAAACTTTGCAAGGCTTTCAACAGCCGTATGCAAAGCACCGATACAAAAGTCTGAGATGTCATTTAATTGTGTAAGTTCTCGCATCGGTTTACTTGCTATGTTGGGGTCACCCTTGAAAGAGAAAAAAATTTACTTTTTAAATAAAAATATATGGAATATTTCAATGTTAATCCACCATCAAACCTTAATTATGCAACTTTAAATGCATCATTTTCAACTTAATAAGACTTGCAGAAGTACTCCTTTGATTAAAAATAAGTTATTATTTGTACTCAGGAACCACAGGACAAAAAAAAAGAAAAAAAGAAGGAATGTTGCAATGTTACTTCTGACACACTATATGAAAATTATAGTTTACAGATTCACATAAATATGACAGGTTTAAAATCAATGATTATCATATCACAAAATCTCCAATAGCCCTGGGCTTTTTTTTTATGAGACTGTTGGATGGGCTTCTTTTCGAGATGGGCTTCTATTCGAGACTACTTTTCCAAATTAAAGGGGGGGGGGGCTCTTTTCTAAATCAATGCTTAAGGTTTCGGGAATACTACTCTAAAACAATAGGAGTGTAAGACTACTGAAAAGATTTTTCAACCATGATCTCCTGTTTAAAAAAAAAACATCAAGAAAATAATTTTTTTTAAATTACAGTGGAGTATTTTTATCTAATCACAACATCAGAGAGAACATCAGTCTGTATCATAATTGCATAAACTACTGAATATACCAAGTGTTTTTCATTGTTTATCTCCGTTTATTTGAAATTCATACAGACCTGTTGTAATATCTCGAAAAGAAGCCTGTACTACCTTCAATAGAAATCCATGGGCTTTTTTTTTTAAAATTACTTTTGCAAACTAAAGAGGGGGCTCCATTTTGAGATGGGCTTCTTCTCGATATTAAGCCCATAGGGCTTCTATACAGTATTACTTTATCTAATAAATATCTAATGTTCTTAAATACTTATCATAACATTAAACTTTGGCACTATTACACGTTCCCTTGTAGGAACACCAAACAAAGGCTGGCAATACCACAATGATGCAGTAATGACCACACTTAAGTTCATCATTAGGAGGTGACCTTAAGGTGTTTCCCCTGTCAGGTTCAACACATTTAGGTCAGAAATTCAATGAAGGATTGGCCAAAAGGAAGCTATTGTATGCAGTACTCAATGTAAGCTACCATTCAAAGATTATTGCCGGAAAACTTGCATCAATAAAATACTGATACACATCATAGATTATGTAGGTGATTTGTAAGCAGTCAACACCAAAGGTCATTGATCTCAGGCTGGTAGGTCATCTGTATAATATCATACAAATTACATTATTTTCATATGTATTTGCAAATATTTTTTATATTTTTTCGAAGAAAATATAATAAAATTGCTAACAAAAATATTTACAAAAGTTCATCATTTTCTCTGAATTTTGATTTTTAAACTACTGTGCACGATAAGCACTCAATTTCCTTAGACCTATTGATGGGGATGAATAAATACTCTGAATATTGAATCTATAGCAGTTCAACCATCAATAAACTACTTTCTGATTGAACATTTCTCCACACACTTCTTTAACCACTTGGAAAAATCAAACATTTTAGGGCCTAGACTTGCCACAAGTCCCTTATTTTTTTTTCTCATTCAGGACAGCACCACTAATGAGGAAGTTAATTTAGAGACCGAATACTGTATAAAGCTTAATCCGAAAAAAAAAAAAAAAAAAAAAAATTAAAAAAATCAAGTTTTAGACACCAATTAAATTAGGTATGGCGCGTAAGTGCAATAAAAAGTGAGTAACCCAAAATTAGGGCCTGGAACCCAGGCTAATTAGGGCCTAAATGTAAATGTTGAGTTCATTACAATATATGCACCTAGTATACATACAATCTTTTTTTCATAATTATTATTGTAAATGATATAATGATTTATATTCAGTTTAGTTAATGTTAAGTTTAATACAGTATGATTATATTTTGTATTTTGTTTATAATACTCCTTTTGTTTCAGTTTCAGTTTTTTAATTTATACAAGTGATCCTATTAAATAAATTTTTTTTAAATATTATTATTATTATTATTAGAATTATTATTTTTATTATGCTTACATAAGTATAAAAATATACGTAGTGGGAAAAAAGTGAATATAGAAAAAGCAAGTCAATGACCTACTTTCATGTAGAGTAAAAGATGGCAAAAGTCGGGTCGCGATCTTGTGGCTATACCAAAGATAGGCTTAGCACCCAGTTCGGCTTGAAATTCCCGCTAAATTGTGAGGAAAATCGTGTCATTTTGACACAGGATAGGCCAGGGACTTGAACTACCAATTTCCCCGGTTTTTTCCCAAACTTGTGCTACAAAGTCCTCGCAAGTATACCCCATAAATGCTGCAACTCCCCCCATATTTCCCACACTTGTGCTATCAAGTCCTCAAAAATATACCCCATAAATGCGGCACCTCCCCTTATAGAAATATTTAAGAGTGAGCCCCCAGGAAACTACCCATATTAGGCTAGTACACTCTTATAACAGCGAAGATTGTCACAAAATTGCGTTATCTGTATTGAAGCAAAGTCAAAACACAAAACATTTTAACTTATAAAAAAACAACACTAAAACTGCACTAATTTTAGACATGAAAAATGGTATTTTAATGCATTCAGTGTTAGTGTAATGGAAGTGTAGTCTGCTATTTCACTAGCTGTATGTGAATAAATATTCTAATAAATTCAAGGTCATTATCAGTATGCAGTCGACATTGTTTCTACTGAAATAAGGTGATGATTTTTACACCTTGTTTCGTGAAGCCACTGTCAGCCGGTAATGACAATTTTGAATAAAAATAAAATAATTTTTGGTCAGTTAGCACACCACACAGTCATAAAAAAATTATTATTTTTATTACACTTGCCACCACCTTGAAATCTCCCAAAATAAGATATATTTCTCCATTAATTATATAAATTTAATGCATTTAAATAAATTCTATACTGTTTACATTCATTTTCCCTCAAATTAAAGACCACTATTATTTGGGAATGGGGATATTATATGTAGAGACATATAATATTAAAGATAAAGGACATTGTTTATTTGGGACAAAAGAAAAGTGGTCTTTATTTTCTCCCCTGCTACTGTATGCTTTGGGCAAAACTATTTTTCTAAAAAAAACCTCTACTGATAGTCTTTCAAAAAAATTAATTTGTAAAACAATATATAAAAAAGTCTCGCCTAAGAAAGAAATATTGTAATTTCATACATTATGTTGTGGGTTAACTGGTCTGTGTACAAACAAAATCAGCAAGTCTTATCGAAGGCCTACTATAAAAGTACTGGTATGTATATTGACCTATTGTAATCCAACTGTAATTATCATTATAATAAAAGCTAGCAGATCGGAATTAACATCCTTTAAATATTAATGGAACAGGCAAAACTACTAAAGTTGGGCAGTTTAAATGACCTATACCAACACAACCAGAAGTGACCTCATTAAAGTTGCTAGGTTCATAATAACTGTGTTAATTCTTTGAGTCTCATATTTTCCAAATTTTCCTTCCTGGAGATTTTCACCCAGTATATTAAACAACTGACCCTAATACAATATCAAACTTTTATTTTTAGAAATTAACTAAAGTGGAATTTAAAATGAAGCAGAAAGCAGAGGTTCCACTAATTAATTTTAAATAAAACAAAAAGAAAATAACAATATTCAATACATTCGGTAAATAAATCCTACACTGTTCACATGGAGTTAACCCACAGCATCAATACAACTGAAAATATTAATTTTACATCTGAAGAAATGAATAACACTCAATACAATTTTTAGACGTCCTCATCACACTGAACCAAGGTTCTATCAACACCACAGGCTATCGTAAGAGCACACATACCAACAAATATTTACATTTCCAGTCAAACCACCCCCTTCATCCCAAACTAAGTGATGCGAAAGCCTCATATATTCCAACAAAGCAGAAGAAATGAAAACTACAGAAAAGGCATTAAAAGGATGTGGATACCCTAGCTGGACCATCAAAACCATACAAAAACACAACACCGAAAAACAAAAGGAAATGTGGCCATGTTAAAGGATTGTTGGAAGAAATCAGGAGGACATTCAAAAACACAACGTTGGAACATAATTATTTCAAACCAGTAATCAAAATAAGGGGTACAGTTCTCCACCCTAAGGACAAAAAAAGAAAGAAGATAACTGTGGTGTCATCTACCAAGTAGGCTGAAAGAACTGTAAAAAAGTATACATTGGTGAAAAAGGAAGATGCCTCAACACACGATTAAAAGAACATATAAAAGATGTACTGTAACTGACCATACAGGTAGAATCCAAACAACAGTATCCAGAAAACAATATCCTGTCTAAGGTAAAAAATACTGGTTTATTTACAAAGAATAACAATCATATTTACACGAATTGAAACCAGATGAAATTATTTGATCAATATTCAGTACATTCTAGACTGTCTTAAAAATGTGGACTTTTTGGATTTGGAGTGTTGCCTATGCACCCATCGCACTCCTCCACCCTTTGGTACGAGCCTGTAAAGTAATAATTTCACAGTGAATTCTGAGTACAACCTCAAAAATTCATTGAATTTAATTTTCAAATTAAAAGTAATTATAAAGGGCAATTTAGGCTACATCTCCAGAGGTCCCAAGTCTACCGCTGCTTGCGGTGCTTTTAATTCACAATTCAAGAAGTACGTTCGCCACTGGTGGCGTACCATCGAGGTCAACGAACTCAACTCTGGAAAAAGTATATTGTTTGAAAGTATGGAGGTCCATGTTGTTGGTTATGCTGTAATATCTGTGAAGAACGTGGAATAACCGATGTTGAAAGATATTTAAAGGTATGTTGACTTCTTTTTGAACAGTTTTCTGTGATTGTGATAAAAAATCATACGTTCTATACTCAGTTTTGTGACGTCACTTGGAAATGGATGGTTTAGAGGCCTGCACTCGTCATTACCCTACCTGGCCTAAGTCTAGCCGCCTCCTTGAGCCATTTTTTCCGGTACTAGCTAGGGCCTAGACTAGTTCAGGCCAACTGTCCTTTAAATACGTTAGGTCTAGACCTCAGT